AGGGTTATCCTTAGATAGTTTCAAAAAGAAAGTAAGAGAAGTAATTTTTTAAATTTTATTTGTGTATAACAGCGCACTGTAATATACAGGTGTTATTTTATTGTCCAGTTGTTTGGAACCGTACGTCGTTGTTCCAATCGATATATTGTATCATTTACCTGTTTTATTACTGTTTGCTGTCCTTGAATAAAATAAAAAGAAGAAACGTAAAGGGATAATGATCGCCCCAATATGAAGCTTATTAAAAACAATAGAGAATCGAAGGTGAATGATGTATTGGCACATATTTAATGTCACGACAGTCACATCTTATAAGGGAAGATCGACGGAAAGAGAGGCAGAGGAAAACCGAGCCGAAGTAATTTAGATCCGATAACGGAAGAATTAATGTCGTGTCGTAATTCAAAGTTAGAGCGCTTAACAAAGCTGGTAGGCGATTACTCCTGGGACAAGGGCCTAGCTCTTAGGTAGATAAAAAAAAATAGTATAACTGAAAAAGTAAAAAAAAACAAACCCAACTTATTTTTTTTTTTTTATAACGCACACACTCAACATAGCCCCGCACTAGGGAAACCCTGTGTCGCGGGTGCCATGGACACACATATAGACAACCACAAATTACACCCAAACTCACGAGAGAAATAATTGTAGGCCATACAACTATTTCTCCCGGCCCGGGAATCGAACCTGGGACCTCTGCGTGGCAGTCCGGCATGGTAACCGTTCGGCCACGGAGGCAGTTATAAAATTGTCAAAATACAACGACGACGTCTAAAATTATTATTACTATTATAGATTACAACACAATTTGTGGTAGTTTGAACAAGAGTGCCTCAATTAAGTTTTTATTGAACGTTTGACCACCATTAGAATTTTGTCTCTACTCTTCTTTGTCTTAAATGTTATAAGGAACAATATAGACAGTTGGTACCTCTTGGAAATTATCCTTAAATTCGAATTACCAAATGGCTACTGTACCAGGCGGCGTGATGTGCCCTTGTTGGCAACAGTGCCTTCACGCACTGAATAGTACCCTCACTTGCCCCTTCCCCGTGCGACTACAATCCTCAACTCCGTACTCGCAGCATCACCGCAATGCATCGAGTATATCCGCAGTGTGATCTGTTTGTGAGTGGGATAGCGAGACTGATGACTGAATGGAAGAGAGTGCTAGAGACAGGATGGATTTTAGTGATATTAATAATTTCAGTTTAGATTAGTAACGACATGTTTTATTTTAAATTTTATTTTTAATTCTGGTTGATTTTGTTTTTATTTTTTTGTTTCTAAATTGATGTAACGCTATGGTAAATACCGTTATGATGCCCTTTTTTGTTATTGAATAAATAAATGACTTTCAATTATTTTTGTGAAATTACTCCACTAGTTTGTTATAATTATTAATACAAAGATACAACACGTAGAAAAAATTCCTTCGATCCGGTCGGATTCGAACCGACATCTTCTAGCAAACCGTGACAGACGCTATGCCAACTAAGCCACGGAACAAACCAGTGAAGCACCGAATTTTTCTGTGCTTGTTGTCGAATCTTTGTTTTTGGTTTTTAACGAGTGCATCAAATTATCTTTATATCTAGTGATGCTTAATGTTTGTTTAAATAATTCATGTTTTAATTTTTTTAATATTTTTTGTTTTGCTTGTGTTTTTGTTTCGTAATTATTTTTTTTTACGTTAGACGTTGAATGTTTTGATTATGTTTTGTTTTTCTTCTTCTGTTTTCTTTTGTGGTATCATGTGATAAACAAATAAATAATTTTTCTTTTTTTTTAAATTCAGAATTATTCAGCATTTAATTTCTATTTCATAATCATACTCCATAATCAAAATACCTACTGAGTTTAACAAAGGTTATAGAACGAGAACACTGTGATAAACACCTTATTATTTCCTAATTATGTTTACCAACCTGTAATAGGCACCACTAAAATTATAATGTAACAACCCGACGCTCCAAATGAAGCATTTCCGCGGCGAACAGGCGGGAGTTGCCATACTAGCTCTTATTTATACTGTGGTTATGGCAATATCTTGGTATTATATCTAACAGCGATTACACACGGCGATGCAGTCGCTAATAGTCTATATTTACACAAACGCGCGATTTTAAGCAGGGATGCAAACGCGCTACTGCATTGATACAAACGCACGATTGAATCGCTACACTTGCGATTTAAAGGGGATCAATGTAATCGCCCGTTTGCATCGCCGCTAAAAGTCGCCATGAGTAACCACTCTAATAGAGTTGACACTTCATTTATTGATCAATGAAACCGACGCCACCATTCTACCGCCATGTGTAGGTGCATATTAACACTTCTAATGTGCAAAATTAATATGACCTTGGTCGTTCTAATATTACTAACACGAGTATATATATACACCTTCAGTTTTTTCTTTACTTCCCTTTTATACAAATTGTTCGGAGATGAACGGATTCTGCTATGTGCAGCACTATGACCTTACAGAAAACGATAACAATCCTTCTATTGCATTATGTCACTATTGTACTACACTACACACTACATACACTATTGTATTGTGGTATTGCCCTAAAAGGGCGTAAAAGTCAATTTTGTTACAAATGAGTTGTTATTTTATTGTTATCCGACTTCAAAAAAGGAGGAGGTTCTCAATTCGACTGTATGTTCTTTTTTTTGTATATATGTTACGCGATAACTCCGGTATTTGTGAACCTATTTTCATGATTCTTTTTTTGTTGGAAAGGGGGTATTTCCATAGTGGTCCCATTTCATTTTGAAGAAAATCATCCACCTGAAAGGGTGGCTGTTTACGCATGAAGATTCATTTTTATAAATAGCGCCTAACTTT